CTGCGAACAAACCCCCCCGGTTCCCTGTGGCGGGGAGAGGGGAAATCGTTAGTGCCGGACGTACAAGTCTGCGTTTCAAAACTCGCCTTCCGTCACGGCAGGCGTTTGCCCTCAGGCGAGAGGCGCCGGCCAGAGCAAACTGGTTCTGGGCCAGTTCAGACCCAGTGCCAGGCACGGCGGGAGCACGCCGGAAGCAAAGCAAAGGCGCCGGGAGCTCGCCTCAAGGACACAGCGAGAAAGTCACGCTCCGAGGTATCCCGGAGAAGGCCGCCGACGGGTGTGCAAGGCGTCCCTGGCACAGGACGGGGACACTGGGGGGTCCCCGGATGCCGGCAGACACCCCGAGTCACGCATCCGAGGTGCTCAGCCCTCCGTAGGCGAATCGACGTCGAACCAAGGGGACGCCGAAGCCACAGGACAAAGCCGGCTTCCACGCACGTGTGGCAGAAGCGACGGGGTCACCTAACGAGCGAGGGGCAGACCCCAACGCGCTCCCGGCCACGCGGAGACCTTCCAGCGGAGCCCAGAGCGGCCCCCGGCCCGCCCGCCCCCCCCAAACCCCCAGCCACGATGGCGGCCGACCTCCGGCGCGCAGCTGCAATCGCTCTCCAAAGGTCCCCGGGCTGCTCCTCACGCAGAGACTGGGACGGGTCCCTTCCACACGCTCTCCGCAGCCCTCTCTGAGCTGAGCCAGGCAGCAGCGTTTGAGGGTATTAAAAGAAATCGAGCCTTTTTCTCCCCCATTTTGGAAGGTTTTCGGCAGCACGTCCCAAGCTACGAGGGTTTCCAGCTCTCTTTTTCCTGGCGGGTAAAGTGTGAGGAGCCTTTCGTATGCGCCCCAGGTGCCGCTAAATCAGACTTCCCCCTCCTGGCCTGCGCACGGAGCGACCGGATCACAAGCTTGGGAATGGCGGGCAGCACCAGCGACCGAACAACGGCTCCCGCGACCAAGCGACGCACGGCTGTGCTTCCGCGCCGTGGGCGGAAGACTCCGGAGACCCCAAGATTAAGCTGGGAGTTAATTCAGCATAACTCTTCGTTAGGCCGAGCCGCAGCGTTTTGGAAAGCTCGAGGGCCCAAACAAGCCTCCCCGCGTGCTCCTGGCCGTGCCGCCGAACCGGAGGGAGCGCGCAGGGCTCAGCACAGAGCCCGCGCTGCCGGCTCTTCTGCAGCCCCGTCAGCGGTTGTAAATCCGTGGCCCAGGACATCGCTGTTTGCTCAGGAAAGAACTCGGGAGGACGTTTCTTCTTCCGAAGGTTTCGGGAACCAGACCATCACGCTTTGCCTGTGGCACGGGGACGTCGCACACTCGGGGTCAGGCGACGGGGCTGCCGTCCACGCGTGGGTGTAAGTTTTCCCTCGTGCCTCCTCCGTCAGCCGACCACGACGGGTAGAATATTTCCGAGCGCTTCCCAAGGGCACGGCTCCATTGGCGATGAGATGACGGAGCGCTCCTCCCCCCGGCTTCGCCGGCCCGGACACCGGATCTGCCGGGGGAGACGGCGCTTTGGACAGGAACAAACCTGCCCTCAGTGGGATGGGAAGGAGGAGACGGTCGGAGGAGAAGCGGAGCGGGAAGGCAGCTCGTGGACGCGAGGAGGAGTCACAGCTTCCGGGAAGCGATTCACAACCTGTTCGGCACCGCTGGTCCAAGAGCCGAGACCTGCCAGCTCCGGCATCGGCATCCTCACCGCAACGCAGGCGACGCCGGGAACAGCGCATCCAAATACACAAGGCCGGCTCCAGGCATGCTAGCGTAAACGTCCCGACCTTCTCTCCTTCCCTGCGGGAGAGGGATCCCCTCTTCACGGAAGCAGGAGCAACCCAGGGCACGGGCTCGGCACCGCGCTGGGAGTCATCCGTGCCACGGCGTGGACTTTGGATCCTCCCCGGCGAGGCGCAGGGAGCACCGGCGGCTCCTCGGAGGAGCCCAGGAAGCGTCGGATGCCCCTGCCCGGGCTGAGCCAGGCCCCGGGGCTTCCCGGGAAAAACCGGGAAGGAGCTCAAGAGCCCGGAGCTCTGGAAAAGCCCCGTGCCGGGGCAACAGCCCCACGAGGG